GAAACAGTTTCAATCAAAACAATATCATTATCTACCTGCAGGTAAGCACTTCAAGACACGTGCTTTTGAGAGCTCAGCAATAACCAATTCTAGTTTACCTGTTTTACGGTTCTTAGCTCGCCAGGAGATAAGATCTGTCCAGTTTTGAAGTTCATTACGACCAGTTAATTGAATGCCCGGAAATTTAACTTGAGAGCCATGGCACCCGTGGGACAGGCTGAAATGAAGTTATCGAGGAGCTTCAGGGCTTGATTCTTTTACTCAATTGTCTCCATAAGAGCACGTTTGACGTGCCGTATTTCATTTCAAAGCAAGGTAAAGAATTGAAAATACGTCGCTACTATCTAACATCTCGCAAATCACTAGTCTACATTCCCTCTTTTAACAGATGACCCTACAGATTCAGTTAAAACCTGATTGCGCTTTGACCAAAATTGAGAACATGAATCTGAAATTTCGCCGAATAAACAATCACCGCATCAGTTAACGAGCCCTGATCGATTTTTTTCATTTGAAATAAAAAGACATAAGGGCTTCACTAGAGTTTCAGGAACCAACTTTTCAAGCATAAGAACAGCACCAGATGAAAATACTGCTCAGCCTGTCGCATTTCAATGGCCACTGATTTAGCGTTTCATACCAAGACATAAACAGAGCCACAGTAATTGATCCCAAAAGGTCGGATATATTAAGAGGCAGTCGTCAACAGCTGCTAAAAGGAAGAAACGATAGATGAAAACATTTCAATCCAATTTCTAAATCGCTATATAGCTTTGCCTTTCCAACCTGAAGCTGAACACAAAATTAAACAGTCTTGTTGACATAACTATGTAGAGACTGCAGGAACTGATGACGGCTTGTCAGTCTTAACAATTTAAAAAACAATAATATATTCCATTTTCAGTTTCCCAATCATCATCTCGTTTTATTCGCTGCGAAAAATTGTCAGATTTAAACGGTTATCACTTTTCTTAAGATACGCTCCATAAGAACCTTTCTCATCACATTTGTCCACTGAAATCGTTCGCCGATTTCGCAATAGATTTTGTTTTTTTTTTTCAAGCCGCAACAGAAAGCTACTCCACTCATCAACTGTTATGAAATTAAGCCAAAAATGTTCTTTGAATTTAAAACAATTCAACAGTCTTTAACTGTACATAGTCTTAGAAGAAAAATTTCATGTGGTGCTGTAGATTTTGCTTTGGTCCTAATTTTAAGGCTGTCTCACGCTGTGGAAGAACATGATGACCATTGGAACAAAAAGCTAGTGAGCAGTATTTTGTAATTGCTATTTTGCTAATGCGAAAAATTAAATTTGGGGATATTTGACACCCTGTTGAGTGCAAGGGGTTTGCAAAACACTAAAAGAGTTATAATTTGCCAACCCTTTTATTTCCAAAAGTTATTAACTGCCATTAGCATCCATATTCTAGCTACATTATCAGTAAATGACAAAGTGCTTCTTACTAGAAGCGCGGCAAAGCACAGGCTATGAGTTAACAGCGAATGTCTTCCGTCCAGGAGAACAATTTTAACAGACGTTAACCCTTTTCACTCTCAAGCTACACAATTGATTCTCCGTAATTACCAGTTAATTAACAGGAGATCGCCATCAAGTAATTTCCATACCAAAATAGATAGAATAGAGTTCTAAAAGTGGCAGAGAAACAGAAATGAAAAACTGGTAATTAAAGAAGGATTACGGTTGAATGCTAAATGTTTCATACTTTTTAGCACCAATTCTCTTGTTAACTCTTTGTGTTCTTATGCAATCTGAAATTACCCCAATAGGTTTATAGTTCAGGTTCCATAAAATTTGAAGAATTCTTTATGCTTGTTAAGAGAAGAAAGCGAGGATTTGTGGATTTCAATTATAAAAGGAAGGATAAGGATTTAGTGTAGACTGAAAATTAGCTTTTTTAGGGGGGTTAATAATTGATAAATGGGTGTCAGCATAGACCACCCCCTACCTGAAGTATTCTCGTGCTTGAAGTAGTCCATTTGCCGGTGGATTTCACACTGGTCTTTTTCCCTATTGCATTTCTCCTTAACTTTCACTTAGTCCCATAAAAATTCAATCAGACTCCCACTTAAGGATACAGCATGGTCTGGCTATGTACTGGTACTCTTAACTTCACACCTTTTTATTGTTTATAATTGAAGAAAGAAAAACTTTTCTGTGTATGCACTTAATGGATCATTTTTTACTATTGAAAAAAATTATTCAAATTTTTAGTTCTTTAGAGTGCAAAACACGTCCTCGCACATTTAGGAGAAAACAAAAGATTAGGGAGCAGTCAAGATCACAATAAAAACTGCAAGTTCCCTCTGTGGTAGCACTTAATATATATCGGCTCAGAAATCTCTTATGTTTACCTGCTTCCGTGTAAAGCTCCGTTTCCCGAAATAGGTACTTGAAAAAGAAAAAAAATTCAGCGGCAACCAGCACAAAACAGGGGTGATGTCTTACTTTTATGAAAATGAAGGCGTACCCGGATTAAAAAATAGTCACCAAATGAAAAAACGTTAGGTTAGGATGGAGAAAGAAGCAATGTTTTAATGAGAGGAAACATGATATCAAAAACAGGAAGAAAGGAATTGCAAATCCAAGAAAGTAAAGTACTGGAACTCTTGGGTAGTAAAAGAAAGGAAAATTAAAATTGCTCTCAAAGCGAAATATAACTTTTTTTCTTACCTACGTGCTATTCATTTGTCTGAACGTAAGTCCGGAAAAAATGGTAGCAAATCGGTTGAAAACAATACGTTCTTTGTCGCTATTTTTTTTTTTACGTTGGTCACCTGCTTTTGTCATGGAAAAATTAAGGACTGTTTATTCTTGAGATTCATCATCACTATCGTCGATCTTTCCTGCGCCATGGAACACGTTAGTGTAAATGTTTTCAAAACATTTTATATAAACTTCATTGTGCACTGAAAGGGAGGAAAACTTAGTACCCAGCGGGGAAAATGTTTCCATTATGTTGGAACAATCAAGTAATTATTTAAAACAAATTAGTGGCATAGATCTTTGAATCAAAATATCTGAGCTCAACAAGTCGGCAACTCTAAAATATGATAAACGGAGCTTGCAGAACGAAGAGGACATGTAGATAAGCGAATTGTCGCACATGGAATATGTGAGCTCAAACGCTTCTAATGAATAAAACAATGCAAACCTAACTCATCAACTGGTTACAAAAAAATAGTATTGGCCCTCGTGTGGAAAAAAAGGGAATTGAAAAGGGATGAAACAGGACTCGTCGTTGTTGTGGTTAATAATAAATGATGCTCTTTCTGCCGCTAAATTCACGTGGTGCACTTAAACACGAACTATGACAGATGTTCAGAAAATTTAGAAATGGAAATATCTTTCGCTCTTTTGTTCTGAATCAAAGCACTGTAACCTGAAAGGACCCGGACATACAAGGCTATCGCTTCCTACGTTGTAGTTTTCAGTGAATGACACTCTTCAAACTTGGAGTAGCATTAAATCGCTGGAAAGGCCGAAAAGGCGGTTAAAGATGCCAAAGACCACGAATTTTATAAAATAAGCTAAGGGAAGATAACCAGGTCGGATGAGATGAACCTAACCCATATTCTTCTCAAATAGAGCACCTTTCTTATCAGAAAGGCCTCTCACAGACACGCTGAACATCGAGGTGGAAAAAGCAATCACCGAACAGGAAAAAAGCCGGCAAGCAAACCGACATCAAACAAACATGGCTTCTACTAGCAGCATTTAAAACCTTGCGACAAAAATTAAAGAAAATTAAATGTTCAGTTTAGACCTAACAATAACATCCGTCTGTTTTGATCGATGAAGTTCGATGACATGAGGGATTAAGAAAATGTCACAACATGAAATGGAATAGTAGGATCGAGTCATGCTATAGATCGATATCTGTACTAGCAAGCCTGAAAAGCGGACAGTCGCTGGGCAATATATATATATATATATATATATATATATATATATATATATATATATATATATATATATATATATATATATATATACATACACCACCATTTTATTTTTTCAAAGCCTTTAGTTTTGGAATGTGAATTAAATTGACTAAGTTTTGCGAGCCAACACGCTTCGTATAGTGAGTGTATCCGTACAGGGTTGGGTTTGGCACGAACGGTCGGACAAATAACGCCACCGAAAATTGTATTACCACGGTTTTCACTCCTACAGTCGCACCTTCTAACTATTAATCAGGTTCTGTCGTCTTAGCCTGTGTGTGGAACCCCAGTGTGACTACTCAATTGAAAGCTATGGAACAGTACTTTCATGTAGTTCTGTTTATTACACTGTTCTTATTGGTGCTAACTTTTAAGCTTGTGAATATAGCGTTAAAGCCTTTGGATAAAACCCTAGTGTGTGCCCATAATTCAAATGAAAGCTATTGAGCAGCACTTTCATGTAGTACTCTTTACTAAGCTGTACCGGTATTGGTGTTAACTTTTTTAAAAGCTCGTGAATAAAACCCTAGTATCCGAAAATTCAAGAGAAAGCTAACTGAACAGTATTCTCATGCTGCCCTGTTTGTTTTATGCACAATAAATTTAGCCTTTTTACGCTGTTTTGAATTTAGCTCACAGGAGAGTAAATGGGTTAAAATTTCGTGTTCAAGCATGGAATCAATCAGAGCGTTTTAGACATATAAGCGTTGGAAGCCAACTTTCTTTTTTGTGTTAAATCCGGACCCAGACATTATTAAATTGTTTCGGGTCATTGCGTCCCGCGACATTTATTTTAAATGGTAAATTATTGGTTGTCAAGAGGAAAAGTTTACCACGACTTAAGATCTCTGGCAATTTTTAAAAACATCTCGTGCCATAAATATGAAATCAAAAATGCTAACGAGGTGTCCACGACACCTGAGCGATTGATTCTTACTTCAAAACGACTAGGTAATCCGTTTAGCTTGTTAAATATTTATTACGCACACGAAATGCCTGGTTAATATCTTGACAATGCGTGTGTTAATTTGATTTGCGCTCACTCGACAAAACTCTTTAAAGGAATCACACGGAGCAACAGGAAACTGTGAAGCTTTTTGTTCCTTCAGGTAGGTGAACAAAAGCAAATAACAAAAAATCGACAAAGGAAACTGTGTTAGCCATTTCAGTATGTGGGATTATTATAATTCTAGATGTTTTAGCTTAATTCGAGGGGTTGTAGGTACCATACGGCTTTGTTGAAATCCTGAACCAATTTCAGACTAGACATGTCGATTTTTTAGACTTTTTACAGACCTGACAGCGAAAACCCTACTCAGTTTCAAAGTCACCCAATCTATCGTTTGTTCTCTTTTTCGATTTGTTTAGAAGATCAATGTCGTTGGTCAGTAACATAACAACAGGAGAAAAAAAATAAACATATGTGATCCACGCCAATTTTATGTCCCAGACTAAAAAAACAAACAATATGTATCACCATGGAGTAAAACAGCGTACAAGAAAATCATATCCCCACGAGCGGTAAATACATCCCTTATACTCTGGGCTGATACGGCCTTTATCATCTGAAAATATCGACCACCAAAGAAACATACGGATCACATGCCCAAAGGCCGCTTATCTGTTTTTCTTCCAGGGTATCAAATTTTGTGGTATTTCCCTTCAGGGCTATTTGACATTTATAAACTGATACAAACGTTTATTGCAAAGGCTTGCTGACAGATTTTCTTCTTTATTGGAGACACAATGTCCCGCTTGAAATTGTAGATAGCCATTTGATAACCCCACGTTGACTCATTTCCATTGGGCATTATGTTTTCAAATCATGGCTCACGTCAAATCGTCTTTCGTGTTTTGAAATACGACTCGGGGCCCTAATAGAACTTGCTGAAAAGTGAAAAGCAATTTTATGGTGGAAATTCACTTCCAAGTTCTTATTTTTACAACTGGAATGTTGCGTGGGTTCACGCCTCCAGCTCGCCTCATCACATGCGATTATTTAACTTCCCTCCTGTGCTATTTTTAGCACTTCTTGAAAACTTAACCGTATTGTTATTCGATTTATGGACCAACCAAAATAAATGCTGAGCCGTCCAAATCGTTTAGAGACCGTAGTTTGCCTTTAATGTGCGAGCTACCCGATACGAAAACAGATACAGTCTGTTATGGGTGAGTCGAAACAAGATCTTCGCGTTGAAAATTTACGTGTAATCTAATAAAGAAATATACGACCCCTCCAAAAACGGCAGACTTGTTCACTTTACACTGAATTTTAATAATTTTCCAATAGTCAAACGCTGCGCAGGTTTAAGGCCAAATGGTTGAGGAACATCAGACTAAACTCGCACCTTTGTACGTGGCATAATTAATTCCACGAGCCATCCTTGAAATCCCAACACGTTGATTGAAGGGTGTTCTTTAGCTGTCAGGTGACACGGGCGCATCAAAGGGACTTAACGCACACAGCCAGCCTCCCCGCCAGGACAAGGAGCTAGTAGCTACAGGCGACCGATCATATCATTTGCCAAAACGGAAAATCACAAACGGTAAGAACTTGGTATTCTTTTCACCTTGTTATCATCAATTTAAAGTTGAGAAGTCCGTTTCAGGTTCGAGTCTTCTCCGGTAATTTTAGGTTAGCTAAAAGCTGCGTCATTCGTTTCTGACTCAACATCACCTTACACGGTTCAAACTTATGTATTAGCCACGCAAACCAAAAACCTAAGCTACCTCATGCCCAATGGGAACGATTCAGAATTCAGAGGCTGATTGAAAAGCACCTTTCTCTTGGTGGGAAGAAACCAAAACCGGGATATTTTAGGTCCAGGTGAAAGAATTTTCGTCAAAGGGTGATGTTACCGGGATACGGACATGTTGCGGGTTTTAAACTCGACTAAAAATGAGTTCAGTACTGTCTTCCTTCCATTTTCGTAACTAAAATCTGAATAGTCAGGTAGCATGGAAGAACAAGAAAGATAGGCCGTTTGTGAAAAGTGCATCGATCTGCACACTTCCTTTTCCAATATCCTGTTTACAATTCATGACTATATCGGTCATCACCGGGACTTGTTGTCGCCTTCAGAACTCTGCACATATTACCTAGCATCAATTATCTTTTAAAAACCAAAATTGCATTTCATGGTTCCATTCATGGAACCTTTCCGAGCACTGACCATGGTCTGTGAGATGTTGTGACGCCTTCTTGCGACGCCTTCAATCAATTACTGCTACCATTACTGGTGGCCATTGCGCGGGAATTGTAGCGTGCGAAGAGCCTGTACAAATTCGACCTACAATTAATGAGTTGGTGTTCGCTATCATTTTGTTTTCAAGTAGGCGAGCTTAAGGTAAAGAAACCAAAGAATCATAAAATCATCGCAACAGAAGCCACTGAGCAACCGACAACAACACCTGAGTAAAAATTCAAAACTTGGTAAACAAATTTCTCAACGTGGGTAAAATAATTTTTAATCTTCACCTCTGAAACAATGTCATAGCATTATATACCGGAATGATACGATTAAAAACATCAGTTGCACACAAGAAGCGCATAAAATAAAATCTATTCTTGTTTATTCAATCAACAAGAGGAAAAAATATCGATTTTGTTGCTCAACATATGCTCTTGTTTCCACCTTTAGTTTACACTCTTCCCATATCCTGCAGATGTTGAGTCGATCTTTTCATTGCGTCTAGATGTATCTCAAATTATCACTTTACAACATAACTAAGCATGATCTAGAACACGTTTGTTTTGAACGCCTGTGAGAAAAGTAATTTACAAATCACAATTTCTTTGGCAAATATATCTCTGACCGCTTTAAATATGCTTGAGAATAACACGCCATCAAGTTTATATTAAACTCACATTCGCCAGGTTATCTTTGTGCGTCTTGGGGGGAAATTCTTAAACAGAAAATTAACAGATACCCCTCCTCACTTGTGCATGGATGAATTGCATCGCACATAACAAACTTCTCATAACTTGAGGAAAAGATTGGTTTTTTCCTCAAGTTATGTATGCAATTCCACACTTTCGCCTTAGTTCCCTGAAATTTAAGAAGATTACATTGTGGTAATAAAACGTTTCACTGACATTTGGAAACTGGAATTTGGTTTCGTAAATTGACAAGTGCAAAAAATGAAACTATGATATATAATTTGAAGAGCAGTCAAAAAACGGATTAACGAAGGCCTAAGCTTGTTGAGCAGAAAGCATTTTATTATGGGATTTGACAAGAAAAGAACAGAAGGACGTAAACCAGCATTAAGGATTATGAAAACGTTAACACGCTTTTAAAATAAATCTTGCGCGAGTCAAATCCAGAGAAGTATGTTTTTCCAACTTAAAAATACACCGACTCGCTAGAAACAAAATATCAAAGAGTAATGCGCTCTTTTTGTGTAACTCAATACTTGCTGTTAAAAGCACGTTTTCAACGCCAGGGAACACAAAGAGAAAAGAAAGTGATGTTTTTGAACGTATTTGAGAGCGAATAAAACCAAGTGGAGACAAAAGCACTGCTTGGTTTACACGCAGACCGACCTAATTGCATCTTTGACATTCACCCGGTGGTAAGATTTGCGAGAGATACCAGCGAAATCGGAGGTGGAGCCACTTAGGGCTGATCGAAAAAATACCAAGCAAACTCACTAAAATAAACATATCGATTGTGATCTATCAAATTCAGTAACGGCAAGTTTTCTATCAGGGGTAAAACTGGAAATGAACGAAATCCTGCCTCCGCAGCCCACACATGAGATAACATCTGAGATGATCTCGACGTAACTTTATATCGATAGTATCACGACCCGAAATACTATAAGGAAGGCTGCATTGACAGACACGGGGGCGGCCTGGCGTAGCATATGGTCCAGGCGAAATGCAGAATAAATATCCATGTTAAACATGTGTGATGTTAGAGTAATAACAATCATGCTAGCTTTTTTCCTCTTAATTCGAGTTGGACGTTCCACCGGTTCGTGACAAGACCTTACGAAAAAAGTCTTGCATTCGTATTATTTTCAGAAATGCTATCGCATAATTATCACTGAAATTATCAAACGGTTACAAGTTTTTGCGGAGGAGCTTTATCTACACTTCCTTTGACTCGTACCGCTTAAAGGTTGAAACATCGATGAGACAACTTTCACGATGTCGTTTAATTAAAGGCCTATTTAGAAATGAATTGCGTTTTCGCAGAAAACTCCCCAATCGTGTCGAGCGATGCGTCCAAGGACGGCACTTAATAAAGTGCGTCCATTTAAATATTACCGGAAGATATCATTTATGTTACAACTTACAAAAGCCGTTCAAGATTGAGAAAATGTACTGAGCCTAAAGCTTGTCTGGCGAGTTTAAGGAAATCCTATTTCCAACAACCAAGCGGTGATTAAAATTAAAAACAACAAAAAATATGGAAATGCCTAGCATTTTTATTTCCGATATCAAAATTGATTTAAATGTGGGAGAAACTCTCAAGTTTTCAGAGTCGGCTAATTTGGATATCAGATTTTCAAAATCGATTGACAAGAGGAAAAAGATACGAGGGTCGTTAAAGAAACTTAAAAGTCGATAAAAAGGTTGAATTACACTTCCGATTCGACCCGCAGTTTGTTCTTCAATCTACTTTCAACTTTGTTTGGTCACTAGCTTTTTAACTAGGACACTGAAAACGAGATGGGACTTTGTGGCGCGATTGATCAAATAACATCGCATTAAGATTGTTGTCAGACATCTAGAAACCCGGGTACAAGAGCTGGCAAATGTGGGGTTGTTACGATCACCAATCAGGTTTTCACCTCCATCTGAAAAGGATGACTATCGAGGGCAAATTTGAAACTAGGTTTTTTTTTTTATTCCAACGCCCAGGACAACCGGGTCACGTTTTATGTTGTTTATTAGCAGTAAATTAGATTATTTAAATACACCGAGTATCTTATCAAGCAAGAACAGGTGCTTGGAATGTATTGTTTAGTAGTGTTTAGAATTAAAAGTTTCGACTGAAATAGCTTCGCGGCTCTAAAACTCTCAGATGTTGCTGTTTATCAAAAGTTTTTGAAAGCATTCAACTCGAAAGCCCTTTCAGATTTGTTTGAACCACAAGCCACACAGTTTCAACGCCCCTCATAGTATATAAGTCATGAAACGGGTCTAACTATAACCTCTGTGCCTTGTGAAACAAAAGCTGGTGTAAACTCATTGTGAGAGAAATGTCTTCTTCGTAAATAAGTCTCTCGGGCGTATGGTATTGCACACATTATCCGTTAATAATAAAAAGTAACATGTGACCCTTCGCAAAAGACACAAGTTTAACTTTCATTTGGTAAGTTGGATGTTAAGAACCGTTCGTAATTGAAAAAGTCAATTTGTATAATCAACTCCTCAGTCTTTAATGACTGCTCTTTTGTCAATAACAAGTCGCTGTTAGAGATCCACAATACTGCTAAAGCAAATCAGAATAAGTCGTCAATAAATGTTTATGTCTTGCTGTGGAACAACAGTATCTGTGATCCGACTTTCCACTCCAAAAGTCAATCCTCATGTCGCTTCACCTCTGACTTTCAATTTCTCAAAGCAATTCAGTGCAACCTGCTGCCGAGGAGTGCGTTCTTCACTTGGTGCTGCCCGCTTTAAAATTTCTGAGTTTGGTTTTAAGTTTGAACTTGTCCAAACATCGGAGTGGGTCACTCTGGTGTAGAAATTTCAGAAGAATTTGTCGTAGAAATTGCCCATGATAGGAAAAAGTTACAGACGAAGATGAAGTAAAAAGCTGTTAAGAACTAACAGATTTGATCCAAACTTTGCTCAAAGCAATACGGTTTTTGGATTCTTCAAAGTTCCTTCTCGACACTGAGTTGAAAACCAGTTCCACAATTGAGCAACTAACAAAAGCAACCCATCGCATTGCATTAAAAGCTAATTGAGTTTCACCTGCGAGGAAGAAATTGGCCACCCGCCATTTGGACAAGAAACGACTCAGTCTGTTCTCTCCAACCTGTTTTACCTAAGTATAAATTTAAGACGCTTCACAGTGTTTAATCATAGTCTAGTAACACATTTTCAGTTCTTTGTTGTCCCGAGGCGCTTAATTTAAGATGGAAGGTTAATTTCTCTATTTTAGAGCAAAGGAAAACGAAGCCATTTAATTTCTAAATGGAACCAGCTCCATCACTGTGCATAACAAGGAAGCCGTTAGAAATGTCTTACTGATGTACATGTATTCAGAAAAGAATGGATGTTTTATTGGTTTATCGCTTTTATTCAAATTCTCTACCTCTACTGAGTCGATTAGGTTACATGGCCCGAGTAAAATATTTTGTCCAAAACAACCCCCAGCAATAAAAATCTACACAAGCCACGCCAAAACAGGGAAACGTTTTTCAAAAACACAACCTGCGCCTTTGAAACTAAACATCCGGTTGTATCAAAAAACGCAAGGGAGACCTTGTGTCATTTTGTTGCAGTGAATGTAAAACGAGAATTTTGCCTCACGTTACACGTCAGAGAAGACAATAACTAGACGTTCAGGCTGTAACAAGCCGGGAAATAATATTACAACTTTATCACAAGCAATAATCGGAGTAAGCCATAGCATTGATGAAAGGGGGTCTGGCAAGAAAAGCGATCTAAAAATTCGGACACGTTTTCCGCAAGCGACGAACAGTGTGGACGTCTGTAAAGTGAACCGATAGCAAAGAATAAGAATTGTTGATACAGGTCTTTGGGTTTGCGATACTTATTTATCATGCAAGCATTAGTATCAAAGTGTAATTCCTTTAAGATAATACCCTGCGTTGTGTGCTTATCTCATTTAGAACGACTTCCTACAAAAGGAAAAAACACTAATAACTATCGTATAGATGAATTTCCTTTGGGCGTTCGAAGGAAGATAACCTCTAAGCGTGCCTTTCAGGAACAGGGATTCTAACAATAGATTCAGAAGGGGATAACAACATATTATCATATGGGTGCGAAAGTGGAGAAGCAGAAACATTTTTAATAAAAAGTAACCGACATAACTTGACAAGATCTTTCAAGTTTCTTTTTAATTGGAATAGAAAATGTTTTTAATGAATGGGACAAAGGAAAAAATCTGGTGGGTGGGCCTAAAAGAAAGAAACTGGCAGCACGTTGCAGAATTGGCCACTGGTTTCAAATTATTTTAAGCCTGATGTTTGGTCGAAAATAATTATATCATGGTAGGAATCTTGTAAACACGAGAGTTAAAATTAACTGTTTGTATTTCCCATGTGCAGGACAAAGATCCCCTTATACACAGTCCCGTATTGTGATGGCAACTGTTTGGAAATAAAAATGTAAAAATAGCGGGTAAATCTTGAATGGAGAGGAAATTTTGGAATTTCGTTATTCATGGCGGATGTATACGATTTCAAAACAACCAGAGAGGTTTATTTTTTTTTCAAAGAAGTTAAAACAAAATGAAATTGAAACGGGTTAGAAAGGTATACCCTGCACACGCTCACACTGTCACAACCTGCCCACTAATGGGCTGTCAAATATTTCATAAATTATTCATCTTATTTTTTTTTCTCTAATGGACGGGCACACTTAGCAAGTAAGAATAAAACGTCTCAAATTTCAAAGGTTTATGGCTCTCTTTCAAAACAGGAAAATGTGCAAGTGGAATTAAACACGAACGTTTGTGTACTTTCGAATGGGTTCAATTTCTCGCATCATTACAGCAATAATTTAAAGGTTTCGAAATGTTTTTCATCAATACCCAAGGCATGTCTAGGGCAGATTGCTTTTTAACAAGCATATCTGATGTTCAACTTGCCACTGGAGCTAGCCAATCGCCTATTTATTTCAATGGAAACTACCTTGAATTAAACCAAATAGAAGGTGAATTTGCCTTAGTTCGGCTGTTTGAATTTCGATCAGGCCATTCTGTGTTTTCGGTGCTTAAAGTATTACGAAAATTAGCCGGTACAAGGCAGTAGGTTTTACATGTTCACGCGTTCATCTTTAATGTTTGTCTGTTCACTTAATTTTTGTTTAAGAGTTGATTTCTTATCTACGAGGGGTGAGCCATCTTAAACCTTGCATCTTTTCAAAGTAAAGTTTATACGTCCATAATTATACTGGAAAAAAACGAATACTTTGGTGAATACTGTGAGAAGTAAATCGAGCAAATCGAGCGCAGTATTAAAATATAGCATCTTAAAACATCAGCTGGTCAAGGATACAAGGAAAACCTCCACGCGTTCGGAGCGAATGTCATTAAGAGAGTTAAGGGTTATTTTTTTCGCATTCCTTTTTCAAAGGAATGTTTCCGTTTTGTTTCTTCCTTCTTTCAGCTCCCTCGGGCAAAACATGGATACTATAAACGTAGATTACAACTGTTCGATAATGACTGGATCGCTTGAAGGTTATTCGGATCCCAACCAACGAATGAACTCTGATTAAAAAAAAAAAGCTATATCGTAAACTGAAACGTGCTCTCATAACAAAACGAACATCTATACATGTTTTTTAAAAGCGAAGACGAAGAGACAATCTGGATAACACCTGGATTAGCCGAGGAAGACGGGCCATTGTTTAACACGAATTTCGCTGATGGCTTGGCTGACATTTCGACAACGATAAATTCGCAAAATCAATAAACACTCCCTTTGTTCGCGCCCGTCTCTCATAACATTATTAGCCTTCTAAATTAGCATCTTTTGGGTAATAGCTTGATGTAAACAATTCAGCGCTCACTATTTTTTTGCGCCTCGGTTTTGCAAAGTTGCCATAACAAACAGCGCCTTGGAAAAGAAACACGATCCGCGTATTCTATTACAAACACAACATTTCACTGGCCATGAAGTTGCAGAGTTCAAAATTGCCAAGCTCTTCCAGCAGGCTTAATTTGAAATCCACTAATGGCTTCAGAACACGACGAGCGAGCTAATTGTGTTTGAGGCTTGTCGGTAAGTCTTTCTACTCAAGGGCCCATGTTCCAGCGGAAGTGGCAATTTTTGAAGACGCAAAGAAAGCGATTGACATTGTTTCTATGGTGTTTGATTTAACATCTACTGAAAAAATATAAACCATCTGGATGGCAAGCATTGGCCAATCATAGAGCAGGGTTCAAGTTCTAATCTTAATTTAATAATGACATTGTCACGCCAGTGAATGAAAATTAGTCTGAGCGCTAGTGGGTGACATTTTCTTTTTAACTGTGTGCAATTTGATTCCAAGCAGCTATAAAGAGCGAGTACCGTCTTAAGTTCAGACAAATAGACAATACAAAGAAGTGAAAGGATAAACCGTACACGGCGTTGTACAGCACCCCAGCAACAGAATATGCTGCCAACCTTCAGTTTCACGCCGGAGCAGGTCGCGTGTGTCTGTGAAGTCCTACAACAGAGCGGAGATATAGAACGCCTCGGAAGATTTTTGTGGTCCCTTCCAGAATGCGAAACCATCCAGAAGAACGAGAGCGTGCTAAAAGCAAAGGCATTGGTTTCCTTTCACCAGGGTAACTTCCAGGAGCTGTACCGCATACTGGAAAACAACACATTTTCTCCGAGCTCGCATCCCAAGCTGCAGTCCCTCTGGTTAAAAGCGCACTATATCGAAGCTGAGAAACTTCGCGGCCGGCCGCTTGGAGCGGTGGGGAAGTATCGTGTTCGACGCAAGTTTCCTCTCCCGCGGACGATCTGGGACGGCGAGGAAACTAGCTACTGTTTCAAGGAGAAATCGAGGAACATATTGAGAGAGTGGTACTCGCATAACCCGTACCCATCGCCTCGAGAGAAGCGGGAGCTAGCAGAGGCCACGGGTCTAACCACTACACAAGTTAGTAACTGGTTCAAGAACAGAAGACAGCGAGACCGCGCCGCGGAAGCAAAAATAAGGTTAGTCTTTCGCTCATGAGATGACCACCTATTTATGGCTTGAGCTCACCAACGTTTACCTTCAACTCAGTCACTTTGTAAAGCTTATTTTGACATACAATACTAAATTAGCCAGCTCATATTAGCGCAAACTCGCCCGTGCGTGCAAGAATCAATTCTAGTGGGTAAAATCTTGGGCGAAATTTTTCCTTTCAGTATCGCCTCGATTAGAAAATTTATTGAGCTGCTCGAGGGTCGGAAGTTGATTTAGCGACTTAAACTGTAACTAGCTGTTCATTTCATGCAAATTAAATTTTAGTAAAGAAGGGGGATCGTTTTCAACACACATCAAACAGACATATATACACAACCGCGTGCGCGAGGGGAAAATGACCGCAAAAATATACATGAAATGGGATTTCCGCATTCGCTAGTTGATTTATACCCAAGCCAAAGAGAGGAGGATACGAGAGAGTTGATTTGACCCTCTTCTTGATAAGGTTCTAAAAAAACAACCAGCCAGCCCGAAGCAGTCTGTGTTGATATCGACAACCTGGTTGACAAGCTCTGCTGAATGCCAAGCCGTGGCTGTATGATTGAGCCATTGCTCTTAGATATCATTCACCGTAATAAATTTGCACTTGTGATCGACCTAGGAGTGAAATACTCGCACGAAATGCCTGTATGTTGGGAGCTTAGTGATGCGCCATTGAAAGAATACAAGGATTAGTCAGGAAGCGCATTTACGTAGAAAGGGTACGCGCTTGTTTATCATCTTAATTGTTGCCTTTGCGTGATTTCAAGCAGGGAATCAACCGTGGACATCAGAACCAAGCAGATGTTGAACCCTGACAAGCAGGCCATGCTGAATGACGTGAAAAAGTGTGGTATACCCGACTTTTCTCAATGTATGAATGGAGCACATATGCCCGCTACCCACACTCCCGTTCCAGTGAAGCTCGAGGTGGACGACCCTGCTCTAATGGCTGCGATGACGGGACCCGGGATGGCGCACGAGTCGATGGCGCCTGTATCGGCGACTGAATTTACCCACGGACTTCATGATAGCCACATGCTGACCACATTAACAAATTCTCTAGTAGGACTCTAGACACATCGAACGTACTTGTACATTACGCCATTCTTTGACTTGTGTGTGTTATGAGTTAACAGCTTGGGGGAAAAGCTTCGTGTTTTTCCCTCCTTTGGCAAAAGCCGTGCAAATTCCACAGTTTTAAAGCATCTCAGTCTTATTTTATTAAGATATTTAGCATAACGTATATATGTATATCGTAGTTTTGTAGTTCAAATACACTTCAACATAAAGCTAGCCACGGCGATGAACAAAACATCATAGTTGGTTCGTACTTGAGGGCGCAAGACACCGTTGAATAATGGTTCATTCATTCGCGCAGTTGTGTACGCGGTAAAAAAACAACACGAGCTTTTGCTCAAAGCGTATCAAGATAAAAACAAAAAATACTAACGCAAAAAATTCTCACGTATCTTTGAAAGAATTAAGTGTAAAAAGCAAATGTTTTCTTTGCATTCATGTTTTAAGTAATTTCACCTTATGTACTGCCGTATGTAATCTTGTACAGTACTGTTTCACGAGCGACTAAGTTGGAAGAACGCCACTGTCCCTTCCCTGTGAAAAGGCACACGGTTTCACTGTACTCTATAATTTTAGGGTGGAAATAAACTCCCGTCGAATCCAAGACGTGTAGTGTTTTAGCCAAGCCAGCGCGACCTCTCATGCGACAAGTTTTCGTATTTTCCGTTAAATATATTCAGTGGTTTCTCGTTTTACATGCGGGCATCTTCTCAAATATCGCCATATCACTTTGAGGAAATTGAAAACCATTAAGGAGAACCCACAATATATTCAAGTACGTTGAGTTCACTTAAAAGCGCTCGTAGTCGTAAGTTAAAAGTTTCCTCGTCGATAACAACAGGAATATATTTTGCGGAACGTCGCACGGACAACTAGCGAAGTGCGCATCAATTAATTTGCCCATTGAAAGATTACTGTAAGTTTGAATTCGAAAATACGGCTTGGGTCGATGTGTTAAGGATATTCCATTATTGTGTTATTTTTACAATAAATCACAATGAGCGGTGCTTAAGAAGGAAATTTGGGCAATAAAAAGATTGGGTTTCCCGTCCTTACGCGTTATGATTTCTGTCAGGGTTCAAGGTCTTGGGTTCGAGCACAGAGCTTTCGCGCTATTAATGGCGCCGCGAAGGAAACGGTTCAACCTTTCGCCCTCTCTTTACAAACTCAACAAGCAGAGAAGAAAGGAAAGCAGCGCTATACAACAGAAGCAATCTTTTTATTGTCTGCACAAAAGGCTGATACTAGACGAGAAGTGGGAAGCCTTTCAAATGTAAACCACGCGCATTTTGAATGATCGCTCGCCCGCTTGTCCCGTGCGCGTAATTCTGTTTCGTGACTTGGGCGTGGGGGTTTGAAAGAGCTCGCTTTATCAGGCGTCAAAATCGCCGGCGACGACAGAAGATGGGCGCTAAGCCAGTGAAAATGTGGTTAGCCCCCAGGAGGTTCAAACCACAACACTTCTTTATCTCGCGCCGTTTTCTCGAAGTGTATTTATTTGTCTCGTCCATTTTAACACAAAAGCACCATAATTCACATGTATCCAGCGCTTTTGTTTGAGGCTCACATCTCTTTAAATAAAGCAATTAAATCACAAAAGATGCATTGTACGCGTTGAATAGCGTTCATCCACCAAGCACATGTCATAACACATGTTAACAGCAGCTACTATTTTAGGTTTTGATGCAAGCAAAATGGAGTGAAAAGAATTAAAAGCATCGAGCCGATTGATGCTTACACAGTTGGACGCTGTGTGACCGCGAGGTAAAATGTTTTTACAGGGCGGAAGAAAAACATACAGAAAGCCAGCTTCGAAAATAAGAGTGATCATCACGAGCGATTGATTGAAAAAGCAAAACGAACCACGTAGCTCATAGGAAGTTGTCCCCTTTTCCGTTGTGCCCACGCAAAGACAAAAATCTTCACGCCGGAAAGCTGAGTCTGTGATAAGGAAGAAACCATGCGCGTACTTTTATCTAGCGCTGACTTACTGTGAAACCTTCCCTCGTTTCCTTACAAACGAGGAAATTTATTCTTGGGAGGCCCGAGGTCTGGATTTTAAAGTTACGGTAACCCGATGCTTTTAACCAGTCAAGCTTTGTGTATTCAATTGAGTGGTAATAGCGGAAGCCTAAGAAAGCCACATGATCATATCTGTAATCCGAGTATCCTTTCTCCCCATCGCACAAACAAACAAATGTCACAAGGTGATAAGCGAAGAGCTAATACACATATGCGGTTCACGAACTCCACCGCAGCGGAACCGGCCTCCCAAGCCAATAACATAAATTAAGCCCAGAGAAAATGAAAGAAAAACATACATTTGGCGTTCATGGTCATTTGTTTATTCAAGTAAACGTTTAATGCTTTTTTGTCCTGTAAAAAGACAGTCGCCCAGTTTGCATAGTGCATCCTTTATTGACCTTGTTAAAGAGTGGTTACCAAGATGGTATTGTCTTCAAAATGCGTGCGTGGAACCCTCGAGGAGTAATGATGTCATACACTAAAACAAGTGTGGGAACTTTTTGAATTGTTTTCGACAGTGCTTTTAGGAATCCCGAAGTGAACTTTTGTCAACGAAGCGGAACTCGTCTTAAGCTCGGCTTAAAACAATAACAAATTACTGTCGGCGTAAAAAATAAATAGAGAAAAAGCGGTGAGTCCAAACACGGCTTTTTCTCATCAAGTTCGATTAATTCTTTCAAGGTATTTACTTTGAAATTCCTGTGGACAAGGTACTATTGCGACATCCGGATTGTTTCTAGGTAGATCTACAAGAAGCCGATAAAAACGCCGTGACGGGGCAAAACAAAACGCCGTTTTCATCTTCGGCCACGAACAAGTGCCATTTTCGAATTGTAAATGTTTACTTTTGTTAAACCTTTCTTCAATAAGAAATTGCTCTTTATCCTATTTTCTTTTGCCCTGACCGTCTTAGCAAACAGAATTTCAAACAGTGTCCTGTTTGTCTAAATTTTCCGCAAAGCTAACATCTCGCAGTGAATTTGTCTCGTACGATACAACGCGAAATTGCGCTCCTACGGGGAAAACAAGGAGAAAAAGCAAATCATAAAAATTCAGCACATTATTTTAAAGGCGAAAAAACATCTTATAGACCGTGCAAAATATTAAATATTAAAAGCTCACTATTTTCTTTTACATGCAAATATTAAAGCGAGCTTTAAACAATGTAAGAATTGCTAAGAAAAGACAAAGACTTACATCAATCGGCGTAATTCACTCCTAAAGTCAGGCTTTTCAGTCGTTGCTAAGAATGTTTCAGTCATTTGCAGTCTAGACTTTATCACTTTAGTCTCATTGTAGTTGACCGTTTTAAAATAAGGTGCTCGCACTGTTCACAGAAATGTCAAATGAAAAATCATTTACAGTGAAGGTGTAAGTGAGGTTATAGTGATGAGTCAAAAGATTACCGGAAGAAAATTGAGCTTAAAAGCGTGATTCTAAGGGGAATACAATTCTAAGTTTTAGACGAGCACCTCAATCGCGCACGATTGAATGAAGCAGAAGAGGACTGTAGACTGTAATTAGAGCTGTGTGATAAAAAAAAACATACTACTAGTGACAGGATTTGGGATTTTTTAAGACTTTTGTTTTCCATGCAACATAGCAGCAATGACCTCGAAAAGACAGACAACTGTTTCGTTCTAAGTGAACATATTCAAGACCAGGACGTGATTTGAATAGGGCCCACCACAGATAAACATCATCTCGGTGAGTAACACAACGAGGTGACGGCAAAAAGTTAGCGGTTCATCTCGTCGACATAAACGTCGAATCACTGTTGTCAGAAATAGCCCGACTGGATGGTATTAAAGAAAAAAAAAAAAACAGCAAACGGGGCAACACTAAAAGGCGACAACTTCGCCAATTTTGGCGTCTACTAACCAATCACAGCACAAGAAATGAAGACATGACAGTGAAAAGTTTTTCACAATAAAACGCCGCGCAGTTTCAGGCGCAACCATTGATACAAAGACGACACCCGCATTTGGACAAACAAGCGATACAAAAAAGCCTTGAAAAGACCCATCTGACTGTCTATTGAACCAGTGACTTTCGGTACAAGTCGTGTGGGTGAGTGTGTGATAGAAAAAGAAATATGATTGCAAATACAATACGAGGGATGCTTAACTAAAAGGTTTGTTTGCAACACACTAAAGAAATTGGTTTTTAAGTAGGATAAGTTCTATTTAATACACATTTTAATAATATTATAATTAACAATGTGATCGGCAATTGGCATATTAAAAATCTTCGAACAAAAAAACTAGTAAAATTATCCAAAATGTCCTGAAACTGCATTTAAGGAAGGAAGGCCCAAGCGCGTAATGATCTTGAACACTAGACAAAAAAATAATTCATTTTGTGAGGCTTTTCAATGGCTGCTTGACGTTATAATTTGACGGGCCTTCCATTATTTATATAACAATGCAAAAACTCTTGAACGAGGAGCCCAGTGCTCAAACAGATTACCTGAAATGCATTCAGACACCCAGCCATAATATGACTGCGTAATTGATGATAGAAAAACCTCGAGATCTGTCACTTTGCACGGCTCAAAGTTCGTTATCTGGATCGTGGCAAATGTATAAAACGCTTCTTGTGATTTCAGAGCAAAAGAGAAAATCTGAATTGATGACTTAATTTTTTCGCTGTCTCATTAGAGACAAAGAACACGGCCATGCGACCTCGTATATTTTCCTTGTTGAAAAGACATGGATTAATATTTAACATCCACCCTTATTAGAACATATCTCCTAGAGAATACGTGTCACATTCGACGATTAAACTACAAGGAAAAACAAACTTTAATTTTCGAAAAGTGGAAATCCTTGTTTGTTCAGAAGCCCTCCTCCTTTCCAACGAGTACAGAAACACAATGCGAAACTGTTTCTTTTTGTAAGGTGGCACTTTAAAATTTCTTTAGGCTTTGCTCACCTTTAGTGGGCAAGCACAGACGGGAGTAGATGTCACAAGAAAGGCTTTATCAATGGCACTTCTTTAACACTGGCTCTTCACTGCTGTCAGTTAACCTGCTCAAAATTCTTGAAAATAAGAAGGGTCGCCACAACAACAAATCTGCTTTCAAAAGAAAGCTGGGCTGTCCTTTCCAAACAAGTTATCAAGTCTTGATATTCCAATATGAACAATGCTCGAGTTTACAATGGTAATGACATCGAAAATTATGTCATCTCACTATTTGCGTTATTTCTTTGAACATCATCGACTAGCACGTGGGCAGGCAAGGGGAGATACGTCTTCGCAGTCAAAAAAAGTTGTCGCTGTCACCAGCAAAACGTTTGGTAATGAAAATGTAAATTAGTAAACTACCCGCAAACTGTCAAGTTAATATGACAAAACGAAAGTTTTAATTTCTGCCCTGTAAACGCTTGGACTCTGTTGTTAGCTTTGTTTATTGTTTTACCACTGGGTAAAATAAAGATAATCACAAACACCGTCAAAGTGATGTTTAAATCAAAGTCTAAAGGCCAAGACGACGGTAACATATTTACTCAAGTTTTCAGGTTTTCGTATCGCTTTGTTCGGCGGCTCTTAAATTTCTTTCCACGTCAAAGTGACTGTTTTCTGTTAATTTAGCTAATCTTTTTCTGCTTCGCTTTTTCTTCTAGCTATGACTGCCACAATAACTTGTAGCACTATCATCATCTGCCGGTAGCCAAGGTGGTTTTCAGACAGACAACCACTCCAGAGTCCCGCCTCAACGACAAAACTGAATGCAAATTTAAAACAGTGTTTTTCACAAGAGGCCTTCAAATTTAAGCATACCATATTACTCAGTGAGTAAATCTAATGTTAGTTACTCGCTGCCCTTGGATCGAAAAATAAATCAAATAAGCTGTATTGGTAAGAGAAAACCTGACTAACGAGGGAATATTTCGGAAAATTAAACACATATCATCACCTTTAAATACTACTTTGTTAAAAAAAAAAATTATAAAACATACAGCACAATTAACAAGAAATAAACGCCAAACTAGCCCGGAAAGCCATCAAACAAGAAAGCGAAAA